CCTGAGGAATTCACTCCGTTTTGACTGGCTGACTTTGGGAACTGAGTTTCAGTCTCGGAAGATTCTTGCTAGAGGTCGCAGCTAATAAACATTGCTGAACTGAATCTGCATGGTCTCCTGGAGTTCTTTGGGCTAGGCCTGACAGGCTCCATGTTCAGTCCCATGGGTTAGCAGATAACAGCTTGGGTCACATAGCATTCTACATGATAATACATCTTGCTTGTTTGGCTCAGTGTGTTGGATAAACGCAGTCAATGTGCTGGATATAGGCCATGGCTTACCGCTTATAGGAACCCATCCATTTGTGGCTTAGTCAGTAAAGTTATCTCTGGTTTAGCACTGTGTGTGAACGTTGCCTCTCAATTGATCTTGCTTGGCTTTGTCTCCTCATCTTTATTTAAGGACTGTTTTTGGACATTGTATTTGGAAAGAATACAAAGGGAGAAAGAAATAATGCTATAATTCTAGTCTCCTAACTTGCTTTTAGATTGAGAAGCAGCGCAATGATCTGTCCCGGGAACTGGAAGAACTCACCGACAGACTTGAAGAGGCTGGAGGAGCAACCACAGCTCAGGTAAACACACATCCATCCAGGCAGCAGATGGCTGTGCTCGTTTTACACACTGGGGAACTGAGCCGGCAAAGAGTGCATCGTCCATAGCACCCCCAGCAATTCCTCTTTCGTACGGCCTTCAAGTGCAGGAAGTCAAGACGGGTCAGAGGATGTTTGGGACAGCACGTCAAAGTAGCGTTGATTGATTATTTTGGAAGAATGGCCAAAAAGAAAGGATTGAGTAGAGGTGTTGATATTGGTATCCGTTCTTTGGGGGGGGGGGGTCATTTAAATCCCATGTTTAAAAAGCAACTTTTTCGGAAATAATCAAGCAACCATAAAAACAATACCGGTTCGACCAAATTATGATGCCTTTACAGCATTCATAGTGTAGCTACCTAACGTAAAAGTCCTTGGCCAACATTGGAATTTCACAACAATAGAATAGTCCTGATCAGAACAAATCAAGTCTTTTTTATGGTCATAGACCAGCATAAATTGTCCTCATCAGTGGTAGCTTTCCTCATGACCTCAGAGTCCAAGAAGATTTCTAAAGACCACAAGAGTCCTTGAAATAACCTCATTCTAATTTGTCTAAAGCAGCTTTTCTCAACCTTGGCCACTTTAAAATGTGTGGACTTCAGCTCCCAGAATTCCCCAGCCAGCCTTGCTGGCTGGGGAATTCTGGGA